TTTTTTTTTTTTTTTTTTTTTTCATTTTAGCGTTAACGAGAGAGAGGGATCGATGAAACTTACTGTAGTTGGTTCACAGATTTTCGTTCGTTCGTTTGTTTATAGAACAAAGTATACACTTTGTTATCTATCGAATGATACTTACTAGTCGGTTCGGTGATTTCCGTTCGTTCATTCGTCGAATAAATTCGCTTATTTGTAGAATTTATTGCAAAATTTATTCGTTTACTTATGGAATAAAGTGTACGCTACGGATCGTCTACGGATCGATGAAACTTACTAGTTCGTAGATTTTCGTTTGTGTAATACCTATTTGTTCTTGCACCGTTTTTCATGAACGAACAGACTGGCAGAACTGGCGTACGAAGCGCCACATGCCTTGCAAACGTACGGCCTCTCGCCCGTGTGCGTGAACACGTGCTCGTTCAAATACTTGCGTCGATAGAAGGACTTGCCGCAAGTTTCACAGTGGTAATTCGCCTGGCCGGAATGCAGCCTCAAGTGGTACTTCAAACCGTTCGAGGAGGCGAACGTCGCGCTGCAAAAATGACAGACGAATCGCTTGTCACCGAGGTGAATTCTCTCGTGCCTTCTCGCGTAACTCGGGATCGCGAATCCTTTGCCGCAGTATCGGCACGGGTGAGCCTTCGCGGCTGAACCGTGCGACTTCATGTGAAATCGCAGCCCGGACTTTGAGGCGAACGTCTTGCTGCAGACGTCGCACAAGTATCGCCTTCCTGCCACGGAAGTGTCGTCGTAGCTTTGTACGTTGCCGGATCCACCATCGACGCCACCGTCTTTCTTCCCTATCGCGTCACCTTTGTCATTTCTTTCTGCCGCGTACACTTCGCTGCCAACGACGATCTCCAAATTTTCGTACGCTGATCCATCCTCCTCTGCCTTCGAGTTCTGCTTTTCAACGTTGCCATCCTAAAATCCCAACTGATCCTTTAAACTATCTCTTGATCGTCCTCTACGAATGTCGAAAGGCATTCTTACAAATAAGGGGTACTACTATCAGGGATACCCATGAGCAATGCCGTCCTTGCTTGCAGTCACATACTTTTCACTTGTTTCTTACAGTGAAACCTTAACTGCATTGAGCCCATACACTTCTGTTCCACTTTCAGTTGACTGCTATCTTCTACAAAGTGTTGAATATCCTTTCTTACAAA